AAATACTTGAGAGCAGCCACACTATTATATGTGCCTCTGATTAGATCCAGAGATGAGAAGGAAAAAGTTATAAAACAAAACAAAACAACAAAAAACTAACCAGGGGAAAGCCTGCTGCTACAATAAATTATTTAAAGCCAGCAGGGTGAGCAGGTTGTGAAGACAATATAAAACAGAATCAATGCCCCAAAGAAACCCAAACCATCCGCACCTCTATAAATTTCTTACCGCCCTGTCTGGCATTTTACTAGCGGTATTTCTTTCCCACATGCTCCCCATTCCATCCCACCCCAACCCTTCACTTCTGGCCTAGTTCTTTTCTCAGAGCTTAGCATTTGTTTTTCTTGTGTAACTCAAGATCTGTTGTCCTCTGTTATGTTTTCCACTTGTATTAGGAGTGTCTGTGAGGCCACAGATGAATGCATCTGTCACTTCATTCATCTGGATCTTAAATTTCTCAGTGACACCATAAGCTGGGGATATCTAACACAGCACACATATCAACATGACTTTAATATCATCCTTTACCCTCTTCTATTTTCTTTCCACAGTTATTGTTAAATCTACAAAGCTAAAAACTACAATGAAACTTTCCTAGCTCAATGACTGCTCTCTATTACTAGATTGAAATTCAACAGCAAAGGTAGGAGGCTGAAGGAGTATTCTGAGAAGCAGCAGTTAAAATGACTAAAATTCAAGTATTAGGAGATGTTAAGAAAACAGATTGACTTGAAAAATTATTTTTTTTTTTTACAAGTACATTTCACCATGAGAAAAAGGGTAAGGAAAGAGTCCAAAACTTGAAAAGAATTTTTCAAATACAAGTTAGATGCCAGAGTATGCCATGGCAAAAAAAAAAAAAAAAAAAAAAAAAAAGTGTCACATAGAAGCTTGCAATGACCTATGGCCCAGTTTCAAAAAAAGCAGCATTCTACTGTAAGCTTTTCCTTTTTTATACTGGGCACAAATCAGAGCCATTGTATGCTTAGGAGCTGTGGCAGACTTCAGGATTTTCAACTTTTCTCTGTCCATCAAATCATGCTGAAGCTAGGCAAATGAAATACAAGTAATGATGTTTTTGCAAGGACAAAAATATTAGCAGCATAACCTGATTATAAACAAAATAGCACAGGGCTAAAATAGACATCTAAAGAATTCTTCATGATTCTTCACATAGTCTTTATTCCTGTTGAGCTCTATTACCTTTATCAAATTATTTGCCTCTCTAGGTCAAGGTTGGGTGGTTAAGCTTAGGGACACTGAACCACTTATCATATTTTGTGGCTAACTTTATAAAGAAAACTGTAGCAAAAATCATATTCACTATGAGAAGAAATGAAAAGAAAAATGTTAACTGTAGATGGTATAAATGACAAAGCTTAAACCACCACACCACTAAATAAAAACAGTTCATAAGGCAAACTTCTCAGCTGTTGGTGTCATCTTTGAATATGAAAAGACAGGCTCTAAATATTATCCTTTTATAGCTATAGTTTGCTCATCTGGAACAAAGTAGGGGAAAAAAATCATTGTCCTCAAAAGATTGTAAAGAAAATGACCTATCAATATGGCTGCCAAGAGTTCCTTTAAACAGAAAGTGCTCCCTAAACGTCTCAGTGATGATCCAATGGTTTGGGACAATCCAAATTCAGTGCCCCAGCATAGCCATGTTCCTTTATCATCAGGGAAGTAAAAATTCTGGGCACTTCTGACCTCTGTGAAGTCATTTGGGTCCTTTAGTACTTGAATGGTAGAAAGGGAGGATAACTTCTGTTAGATCCATTCTCTTTCAAATTTTATGGGAAAATTATGCCAATCTGATATGGGAAACTAGAACCCAAAAGTCAATACTAAACAATAAATAAAAAACTAATTGGTAATAATTAATAAATCAAAATCGACACTGATTTCAATGAAAACAGAGATAGCAATTCTCAACACATTTTCTTTGATGATGAGAAAATACACCTAATTATTTGGACAGCTCAAAATACTTTGAAGGTGATTTTCAGAAGACAAGTTTCCCTGATCTCAAATGTAGGTAGCTGAAGACAGTTTGCTGGCTGACAGCAGGACAAGCCGCATCTTCCCAAGGATACCTGACTTTGCACTGTATCAGCCTAGCAGAAGTGTATCTGTGGTGACAGCCCCAAACCTACAAGGGCTTTTAATGAGAGAAAGATATTTCTTCTCCTATCCTCCAGAGAGAAATGACCAAAATCTGTACTACAGCTAGCCAAGTCATCCTAGAGCTTCCAACAAACCCAGTGTTTTGGAGGTAGATGGAGAAGGGGTCAAAATTAGGGAGGCATCGTAACTTACCATGCTTCCGAGATTTCCTTAGAATTGGGGTCAACTCGGAATAAGGATTCTTGAACACTCAAATATAGGACAAAAGGGGCCCATATTTGGAAAGAGAGTTAATGCATTACAGTACCAATAAATTTCACAAGGCCAGTAAGTGCCACCATTCAAAGCTCATGTTCTTTTATAAACAACATTCTAATATTTTTTGAAATATGGGTGCCTGATATAAGAATCATTTAGGGGTGCTTATTGGAATGCAGTCTCCTAAGTCCTACTTGGGCCTCAGACTGAATCCCTGGGACTGGAGTTCAGCTCAAGAACTAAATTTCTTGAAGAAACCAGTAGACTTGATGATTCATATCAAAGTCAAAGAATTATTGTGTCCATAGAATTCATCACAAATTTAGACACATATATATTAAGAATTTGTATATTTTCAAAAAAAAATATACTATACATGTAAAAACAGGCAAGAGAGATAGCTCAGTGGTCTAAGCACCTGCCTGGCAAGTGCAAGGACCCAGGTACTATCCCCAGTATCACATGCCATGCTGGCCACTGAAACCGGGTGTGGTGGTGCATGCCTGTAATCCCAGTGTTGGGGAGGCTGAGAGAAGTGGATCACTATGTGTCAGAGCTGCGTAGCAAGACCCTGTACCAAATAAATAAACGAATAAATAAATAAATTGAAAAAAAATTTAAAGTGAAAACAGTACTTTTTATGAGTTCTTAAAACCATTCCAGTTTATTCTACCTACATATAATGAACATCACTATTAACATGTAGTTACTGGCATAAAATTATTGTGAAAACATCAAAAGTACTTCTAAAAATTATGGCCTTTATTGTCATCCAAAGTAATTATGCTATTAAAAGAATAATTTTTAAAAAATATCAGTCATATGGCTGCAGGAACTTATTAACCTCTAATGCTCCTCTCACATCGTTTTAGTCATCAGAATTGTTGTGATGAAGTCTTTTTATTATTTTTAAACTATAAATTACAAACCATTATGACTAATGATTAGGTTAGAAATGAATTTATGTCCAAGTTATAAATTCCTAAAATTATGTTTCATTAATTACTAAAGTAGTCTTAAGTCTAGTATGTGATACAGTTCTGTTTACTTCTATTAAGGTGTTTTTCTGGGGTCAAAACAATTCATTTTTAAAGCATTTTCTTAAGAAGCAAAGGAAAATAGTTCTGATATACACACTACTGCAAAGCAGTAAACCAGTGTTGCACAGAAATGTGACAAGCACTACATTTTTCCCCCATGGGGATTATTTTTTCTCCTATAATTCCCCCAATCATGGCTATAATTATTTCACAAAATACAGTTTGCCATTTCTAGAGACAATATTCTGCTCTACCTTCCTTCTCACAAAATCACAAGTTCCGGCCAAATAATGAATGAAAATAGAACTTGAGAGGCAGGCTTTGTTTGTAGCATGTTGTTTCTGCTAAGGGTGGCCCCTACCCACGCTCCACCCCAGTGCTGACTGAAGTGTACATGTTATGTTTTAACAGATGGGCAGGCTGGCGGCTGCTGGGCTGTAAAACAGGAACGCGGAATCTGCACCGAGCGGCAATGAACCGAATGCTCGTAAAGTTCATGGACATACACTGACCCAGACAGACCAGGCAGATGCACACATGCTTACACATCCACGCTCACATGCACCCCGCAGCTAGAGGGCTCATCTCTGAAACCCAGGGGAAGTTCAAAGCTGAGCTGCCCTTGATATATTTCTACCTCATTCACTTATTAATTTTACACACACACACACACACACACACACACACACGGTACAACCCTCATACGCATATACACACAACTACATATACCGATGTTTTATGTTTTCAAATATATAAATATTCCTAAATTTTAGACCCAAGTCTCTCTAGTACTCTCAACAAGCTTTCATTCTTGTCAATTAAGAATGACAAGATAATATTGTACTGAATTCTATTGAGTCCACACATAATGTAATCTGCTTGAATGCAATTGCACTCAGAAAAACAAGCTGCTTTTACATCAAGAGAAAAAGCCAAAACACTAACCCGGACCGACCCGCAGACTAAGTGTCAGATGTAACCTTGAGTCCTCTGTCGTCAGTCATGACACAACTTCCCCACTTGGACACACAGGTGCTCAAACACATGCCACTGACCCGCAGCGGGTCCACCAGCCGCGCCTAGGGCTGCCCGGGCTGGAGCTCCGCGTGGACAGCGGCTCCTGGAGCCGCAGAAGCGCCGGGACACTCCTCGCAGACGCGGACCGACGCAGAGGTCCGGGCCTGGGGGTGCGCCCGCGAAGGGCGCGGGGTTCGGCGCTCCCAGAAAGTCCGGACTTCGCAAACTTCAACGTCCAGCGGAGCTGTCAGCCCCCTTCAGCTCGCCACCCCAGTCGCCGGGGGCGCCGGGACCGCGCTCCTCGGCCCGGGCGGACGCGGACGAGCGTCGGGGCGCCTGGGACCCGCGTCGCCCCGCTGAGGCCGGGGCGCGAGCGCACGGACGGCGGCGGCTCCGCCAAGTTGGTGCGTCCCGGGGCCGGCAGGGATGCTCCGGAAACAAGAAGTTGGGGAGCTGGGGCACTGGCCCGCGCCGCCCGCCCGCCCGCCCCGACCTCCCGGCAGCCACGCTCGGACCGACCGACGGACGGGCCGCGCAGCGCCCGAGGCCACTCACCCTTCCTGCTGACTCCGGATCGCAAACCGACGCTCTGTGGCAGGTCCCGGGTCCCCAGCTGTCCCGCCCCGATGACTGCTTACGCCCCACAGAACCGGGGCACATTGGCTCGGGCAGGCACCTTACGGGAGCTCCGCGAAAGCCCCGCGGCCGCCCCGGCTCGGCAGTCGCCAGGAGCGCGCTGACAACTCATGGACCTGCTCCGCGACTGAGGCTCAGCGCCGGGTTGAGGAGACCAGCTCCGGAGGGAGGCGGGGCCGACGGCGGGTGGGCGGGGCGTTCGCCGGCCCGTGACGGGCGGAGTCGGCAGCCAATCGTGGTGGCGCCTGGACCCCAGGCTGTGGTGGGGAGGGCCTAGCGCCGGGCTCCGCCCTGTAGCCACTGTCCAATCGCTTTCGGCCGGGGGTGGACTGAGAAGGGTTGCTGGCTGCGGGGAACTTGGCCGCTGCAAAGTGTGGAGGCTGCGGGCTGACGCTGCTGGCCCCGTTGAGATGGGACCTGGACACCTCCGGAGTGGGGCGCGGCGCGGAAGGCTCTGGCCCGGGACAGGTCTTGAGCCCCGGAGCCTCGGCCTATCGGCGGGCTGTGGAGCGAGATGCCCAACCCCACGCGCGTAGAGACCGGGTCGACCACGCCAGTTCTGGGTGCCCGGAGGAGTACAGAGTTCGGCCGACCCAGGGAGCCCCAACCGTCGGAGGAAACTGAGGACCCAAAGAGGGTGAGTCCCAGGCCAGGCCCTGCAACCGCCTGTGGAGGCCTGGGATGAGGACTGAGAGCTCTGGATTCCCTGAAAAGGTTCTGTTCTCCACCTAAGAGTGATCTCCGTAACAAACCTGCGGCCCCGAAGACCGCCCGGGAAGTTTAGCACACCTTCCCTTCTGAACTTCGCCCTCGTCACCGTCCTCTTAGGGACCATGTCAGAAACTGGTCGCCTCTTCCCCACCCAGGGAGTCCGTACACTTGCTCAAAACTGAGAGCAAATGGGAGGTTCTGGGGCCCAAAGGCGCCAGAACCTGAGAGATCCTCCCCAGGGAGGCTGCCCTTCGGAGTGGCACCTGCAGAGGTTTCTTGGGCTCCTGTGTCTTGGGCCCTCTGGGACTCTGGAAGGGCCAAAATTAACCATCTTCGTGGAGCAGAAGCCTCAGAGCGAGCTACATCTATCCCACTCTGCACTTTGGGCTCCTCCCACCTCAGGAGCACCTGGCTGGCTTAGAGACAGGGAACCAGCTGAGAAATACAAGAGGGTACTGAGAGCCTGTGTTTCTGGTATATGTGCTGCCAAAGCGAGAAGGAGCCTGAGTTCTTGGGATCACCAGAGACCAAAGAGCCCTGGAAGATGGATTCGTGAACTCTGCCCACCCAGCTGTCCAGGTCACTGGATCTGCTTGCTTTCTTGGAAGATGGTCTTTTCAGCGCGCGTGCGTGCGCGCGCGCACACACACACAGCTGTAAATGTAGAATGAAAAGCAGGGGCTTTGATGTTCTTACTTTGCAAATGAGACCTAAAATGTGCTTCAGTGATTAAGACCTCCAGGTGCCTGGCATGCACCTGCCATAAGGCACTCAACTCATGTTAGCTGAAATGTAAGAATGCATAACAGGAAAGAGCCATGTTTCTTGGTGCCCTGACACTTTACCCACATACCTTACCTTCCCTCTTGCTTCCAGTCCCCAGCTGTTTAAATCATTGTCTCTCTCAGATCAAAAAGTCCTAAAACATAGGCACCTGTTCATAATGGAGCCACAGGTGTTATTTCAGTGGGTAGCTGGCCTCCATAGAGTCTTAGAGCATGGCTGAGCTCTCGAGAATGTCCTGATGAGATAACCGGGGGAAAAAGAATTTGCCTCTGAATGGATAGGACTGAAATGGCTCCCGTGACTTCAGTTGAGTTTCAACTCTGTCTCTTTAGCACTCTTTCTCAAGTGGGGAAAGGACCATTGACAGGCTGCTAAGAAGACAAGAAGGCAGCCTGGAAAGTCCTTAGCTGGCCCTGAAAAATTGGTCAGTGATGCCTAAATTGCTCATACTTAAACACTTTGCTTCCTAGTAACCAAAGGACTAGTAGAGGTGTGGAAGACCATCCTATTCAATTCCAGGACTGGTACAGATGAAGAACACTATCTCATTTGATTATAGGGCTTACTCAGTGTACTGTATTACTGGATGACAAGAATGGCTCATGTCTAGAAAGAATTAGATATAAATAACACACATGGAATATACATTTAAGTCTCTGCCCAAGTTAGGATGGAGGTAAGGATAGAGCTGGACATTCCATAGTAGTAAAAAAGTAACTCCCTAACCTGGTTCTGGCAGTATTAGCTTTCTATCCCTCTGACAGAAGACCGGAGAAAGTCAACCTAAGTAAGAAAGGTTCATTTAGGCTTGTAGTTTCACAGGTTGTGGTCTATAATTGCTTGATCTCTTTTGGCCCATGGTAGCACAGTACCTCATAGTGGAAGCACAGGGTAGAACAAAGCTATTTACCTCATGGCAGCCAGGACACAAAGAGCAGAGACTGGCTTCCTAATATCCCCTTCAAGGGCACACCCCTACTTTCTTTCAGTAGGCTCCATTTCCACATCCAGTAGTGCCACAGGCTGGGAATCAAGCCTTCAACACATGAGCCTTAACAAAGACCTAAACTCTAGCAAGCAGGAAAATTCCACATCATCTGACTTTTAAAAACTGGACTCTTGGGGCTGGGGATACAGCTCAGCTGTATAAGCACCCACCTGGCAAGTGCAAGGTCCTGAGTTTGATTCCAGTACCGCAAAAAGACAAACAAAAACAAACAAACAAAAAAACTGGATTCTTCTGTTTGCTTTCATGAATTTCTACAAATCTGTCCATTGAAAGTTTCCTTGAACCATCATGTTTGACTGAAATTTTCACAGAATAAATATCTTCCAGGAAGTTTTCACAGAATAAATATCTTCCTTAGATTTTTCTTTTCCCACAGTCCTGGACGTAACTAGAGAAGTCACAGCATATAAAGTTTTTTTTTTTTCATAAAATTATTTTTAAAATTACATTGCTAATAGGAGGGCACCACTGGCTGGTAAATGTATTTACTTTAGATAAGGACAAAAATAAGTGAAATCTCCTTTTGTGATTTAAGTTAGAATTACACAGGTGACTTTCACATCCTGATTTCCAAAGTTTTCCATTTGTTTCACACAGACATGTTCATCCACAGTCCCTGGACAAGTAACAGTTCTTATTTTCTGTTGTACAGTGGATTAAGTGGGAAAGAGACATTCGGGCTACATTCATGTTTCCACACCATCTTTTGTTCTAATTGGTTTTCAACAAAAGCATATCATTGGACACAAGTCATAGTCCTTTGGTTGGCAGTTCCCCTAATGATCTTTTGAGTTTGGGTCATCCTGACACTCTGCCAGGGAAAATGAGATCTATTCCTGGTGCAAGAACTCATGCTAATACTATCTGTACAAAACAAACACATGAAAATCTGCATGTGGAAGCCACTTGTTTAGTTCCATCCATTTCTGAATGAGAAAATTTCACTCAGGGATGAAGTTTATGGTATAGTTTGAGACTGAGAATACTAAGGTGGAACCGTGGAAGCAGAGCTTGTCCCTTTGTAGATACTAAGGGAATTTGTCATCAGGCATTGTCACCATTCTCTGACAAACAAAATTGTAGAGCCTTCTAAATTTCAGTAGGATTTGACTGGTGTGAGCTATGAGTTCTAATCAGAGCAGTTGCCATGGTGAATGCTGCTGGAATTCACTAAACATCTATTTTTTCCTTGCTGCTTTGGCCATAAAACGGCAATGGCAGAACTGGTCCACTGTGTTTAGCTGCTCAAGGGGAAACCCATGGCAATGCCTTTGAAGAACACTGCAAATGGATTGAACTTCTAGTTCTGCTGTCAGTAAGTGGAAGAAAGTGAGGTTGAGGTGGGAAAATAATACTTCCTGAACAATTCTTCACTTACGCAGTTTCCATCTATTTTCAGTCTCATTGTACTTTTGTTCTTCTATAAATGAGTATTAGGGAAAAGAGCACTTTACTTTCCTTCTTTGACTGCCAGATATTTTGGAGGTTGTTAATGGGAATGAGACACCAAAATAGGAAGAGTTGTAGAAGCAGACTATAGTTGAGGAAAATTTTAGTGAAGTAAATATTATTTTCCTTTTCAACATATTCATTTTGATAATATTCACAATTTGAAGAGGTTTTATGAAAGATCTTAGTAAAAATGCAGAAATTTCTAAATTCTTACCAGAAGCTATAGATTCTAATAACAGCTCTATTCTAGATTTATTCTGAGACCTTGGACAACTCATTAATGTTTTCTGTATTAGTTTCACATTTATGACACTGCAATAATACTTCTGACCAATTTTACTGAAATGCAAGAGATAATTAATGAAATATTGATGGCTTTGTAGACCACAAAATAGCATGTAGGTGTTTGGCAAACTACAGTGTTTATATTTAACAACAAGAAGATAATTTTGTAACAGATTTTTCTGGTACTATATGTGCAGCCAGTGTGACAGCATCCACAAAACACTATTATCTCATTACATCTGAATGTCAAAACAACTTTCCCATTTGAGACTTGTACTGCCACAAGTCCAACTACATTAACATACGCTAACAGAAATGGGTAAGGAAGGGAACTTGGGATTTCATCATACATTCCACAGGAGAAAAACTATTTTGTGCTTCTTAAAATTGATATCACTTATGACAAGTTTGGTAGATAAAGACTGCAATGATCTTGATGATAGCCTGATAGAAAACTTGGTCAGGAATCCACCAGAAGAGATTTTTTTTTTCCCCCCCAGAACCGGGGATTGAACTCAGACCCTTGTGCTTGCCAGGGAAGCGCTTATTTCACTGAACCATCTCTCCAGCCCCCCACCAGAAGAGATTTTAAAAATTCCTAGCTTTAAAACTTCAGAACAGCCTGACTTCAGTCCTCAGTTCTGAAAACAACAGCAACAACAACAACAACAAAAACAAACAAACAAAAAAAAACACTTCAAAACAAAATGAGTAACCTTGAGTTAGGCAACTGTTTAGAAAGGGACAATCATGTGCTTGGGTGGCAAATGGACTTCATCAGTGGGGTTCCTCAAAGCAACGGAAGCAAATATATATGAGGAATTAGCTTAGTTGGTAGTCTAGGTTGAGAAATTCTACATTCTGTTGTCTGCCAGTTGAAGAGCCAGGA